TCTTCACACCCCCTGCCACCTATTACAGCCAGGGCGGCAAAGCGGAGGAGATCCAGGGGGCCGGGCAGGACCCCCGCACGCTGGCAGAGCTCGGCATCCTGCTGGACACCACGGCGCCCGGGGACAAGGGCCGGCTGGGCACTGATGCCAGCAAGAGCCTCTCCCAGGAGTATTTGATGCAGATCTTCACCCATCCCATCTTCTCCGAGGAGACCTTCTTCCTGGAGCTCATTGACCGGCGGGGAGCGCCCGGCTTCGGGGAAGGCAATATACGGGCCCTGTGGGAAGCTGTGCAGGTCTACATGGACCAGCAGCAGTAGCGGCAATGCTGCAATCCTCCCTCAGGTCCCCCTCCTCTCTAGTCCAACCCTGGGGCAATACGCCGCTGTGGAGACCCCAGTAAGAGCCTGTGGCATGGCCCGGGTGGGCAGGGACCAAGGGAGGGCTCCAGGTCATCCCAGTGTCAACTTGGCATGGGAGCAAGTGGGTCAGGGCCAAGCCCAGCAGGGCTTTGAGCACCCCCCGGGATGGAGGGCGACTGCCCTGGGTTCCCAGTGATTTATCAACTTCACGTGAAGACGTTTCTGCCTTCATTTCATCTTCATTTAACACGACTCGTGCCTGCAGCACGGCCAAGAACACTGCTGGCACAGCAACACCCCCGACGTAGGGGGATGAGGGGCTGCCCGAGGGCAGAGGATAACCCAGGGGTCACGGACATGGCTGCGGTTACCACCCAGAGCACGGCCGGCCCCTGCGCAGGGCAGGCGATGGCCTCTTGCTCCTTTCCATTAAAGAATGAACTTGCAAGCTCCACTTTGGTTTTCTCCTCCTCCCATTTAAGATGTGCCGAGTGCCTGGCGTGGGTGAAAGGGCCCTTCCCACCCCTCAACCGTGCTGGTCCCAGTCCTGCAGTCCCTAAACCACGGCCCCTTGCCCACCCCCTGCCCCTGCCAGCCCCCGGGCCGGTGCATCCACAAGGGTGCACGCAGGGAAGGCCACATCACAGAATCACAGAATATTCAGGGTTGGAAGGGACCTCTGTGGGTCATCTAGTCCAACCTCCCTGCTGAAGCAGGGTCACCTACAGCAGGCTGCACAGGACCGCGTCCAGGCGGGTCTTGAATATCTCC